TGGGGTCGAAAGCTCTGAAATCACAGAACAATCGCAATCAACTTTTGAAGTTTCACTTTAAAACCCAATTCCCAAAAATAAATTTTAATGATTAGTGTCCAATTACCGAACTATGTTTATATTTTCGTTCATTTTATTGTTGGTATTTTAATTATTGATCAAACTATTTTGAATTTGAATACGTTTATATTTTTGTTCCAGGGTTAGTATTCTCGAGTCACGAATATAGATTCGCATGCGAGATTTATGATTTGTCTCACTTGGTTTTCGTTCAACAAACTGAGACACATTGTAAAACACGTATGCGAATGTCGGTATTCGTGATTCGAGAATACTACCCCAGGGGGTCGATTCTCGACTCGTAGGAATATTTTCCTATAGGAATTTTTGACATTTTTATGTACATCGAAAATTTATGACATTTTCCTATCTATAGGAAAGTGTCACAAATTCCTATAGGAAAAGGTTCCTACAAGTCGAGAATCGACCCCCAGGATTCTGGTTGCCTGTTTGTTCTATATGAAGAAGGCATCCTGTGTGTTGAAAAAAGAAGACAGCTGTCTACTGTCTATAAAACGTCAAACCATAAACATAACCAAAGTTTATAATAATAATAATAAAATTTATATACAATGAATTTGAAGGATAAATCTATAGCCGGACCCGGGCCAAAAATGAACTCGACAAATTTATATGTAACCACGACACAAATAATAATGAAAGCCGATCCAAAAAATCCAAATTCGTGGCAAGATCTCTATAGACTGGTACCTTATTTAAGAAACTCTTTGTGTTGTGTTGTTTGTTCAAATTTATTGGTGGATCCTCATACGCCGACAATAGCGCAATGCCAGCATCATGTATGTAGAATATGTAAAGGTGGTAGAAAAAAAATGAAACCTGCCTGTGAGGGATGTAAAGACTGCAGAGACTATTCTGAAAACAAAAGACTTAGGATATTATTACAATGTTACAAGAAAATGTGTATATCCATTATAAATTCAGCATTATTTAATAGCATATCATTGCAAGCCTCTGAACCTGGTACGGGTTTTGAACGAGGAGCTAGTAACCTAATTATATTGATAAAAGAAGGAGCCTCCTTCGAGGATAATTACAAAAGTAGTGGAGGCTTACCCAAATCGACTTATTCAATACTGCCCTGCATTTACACCAATTCTGTAAATGCTCAAAATACTCAAGCACCTCAAAAGCCTTCCCATGTAGAAAAAAATATTGTTCTTAATTCCAGCATACAAAGTAGATCATCTTTTTATTCTGTCTTATATCCAGGCAATGGGAGCAAAATTACTTTGAAGAGAAAACCTAAAGAGGGAGTAGGCAGTTCAAATAAAGTTCCTATGACAAACAATAGACAAAAAGAGTTTCCAGAAAAGGTACCTAATTTCATTACAATTATCAATTGCTCATTTTTTTGTTGAGTTTATACTCTGTACTAGTTTATTATTATTTTACTGTAATGGCCTTTTGTACATAGTTTTAAGTTTTAACTTAAACATAGAACTAGGTACACATTTTTTAAATTCCTTTATGAGCCTAATTCTGAAAATTGTTTGCTCATTGAGTGGTTAATGAAATGAAATATTTACAAACAAGATTATCACACATAAGTACAAAAACATAAAGCAGCTTTCATTTAACTTTAATAATAGGTATTAATATTTTCTAATTTCTGAAAATTTATTTCATAGGGTTTGTTTAAAAAACCATGTACTGTGAAACCCAAAAAAGGCTGTAGATGTGGAAATGCCACTGCCACACCTGGAAAACTTACCTGTTGTGGTCAACGATGTCCCTGCTATGTTGACAGTAAACCGTGTATAGAATGCAAGTGTAGGGGATGTAGAAATCCACACATCAAAGATGGACAAAAGGTAAGAAATGTTAAAAATTTAAACTTTTTTTAACTAAACTTATTCTTTCAGGTTATACCTCATATTCCAGAATTACAAAAACTTCAGATAATTCCAACTACAACACAGAATCCTGTTTTAACATCAAATCACATTCAGGGTGTTAAACTTGAAGACATGGATTTAGACACTTCCTTTGCCACATTTGGAGCCATGAGTCAGCATTTTAAATCATTTGAATGTAAGTATTGTTTGTTTTCCTGTTTGTATTTTTGTCAAGTTATAGAGTTACGTTTAGCACAGAACATTGTTGCTTCTATGTATATATATTTTTTTAGTTGTAGGTGGGTTTAATGCCGTGCCATTAACTTCAGACTTGCTACCTTTAGGATACAATGATGATGATGATCCTGATATAAATGTCATCTGACCATTGGTATTTAGATTAAGTAAATCTTAAACTTTCAAAATCGACCATTGTGAAAAATACTAAACAAAACACTAAGTATTTTTTCTAAAAATATATATATTTTTTTTTTAACAAAATCAGAAAAAGTAAATTTGGTATAAATTATTGAAAGTTTAGGAAGCAATTGCAAAAGATTAGGGTAATTAATGAATGTAGCTGGTTATTCATTCTATTTATATTGCAGCAGCAATACTGTTTCAGAAAAAAAAAACCCAATGATTTCACTCACTATACCTGTGTTATAAATATTTAAATTAATAATTTAATTACTATCTAGTCATGTATTTAAACCTTTTTGGTTGATTTGTTTTAGTTCATAAGTATTCTTAATTTTTGTTCAATTTCACTTTAATCAAGCAGATTTGTTTAATGTTCCATTATTTAGTGCTGAAAACCCTTTAAAATTATTTGAAATTGTAACAAAACAGTGATATAAAAATATTGTCATACTTTGTGTTATGTGTAATCTATACACACACACACACACACCCACTCATTCCAGAAAACCTGTTAATAATTTATATGTTCACAAAATTACTTTTAAGTAAGTTATATCGATGTAAGAGGGTCATGTTGACATTTTTAATTAATCCAAGTTGGTTGTCCGAAAACTGCGCATTCCATTAAATTATATGTAATATGCATCAAGAGGAATTTCTTGATGTATAACCTTCATAAAGAGTAAGAAATAAAAGTTATCGGTAAAATTTAAATTGTAACTTATAAATTATTTAAAAAATATCAGTGTCGCCCTCATATTGAAAATAAATGTTTCATTATAGTTTAAAATTTTTGTTTGGTCAAAAATAAACGAATGGTTCTGGATGATTTAATATAATCCTTGTGCAATAATAAAGTTGGAAGTCAATCTAAGAACATCACAATCATTCTGATTTGGTGGTTTCATAAACATCCAGAAACATGGAACTGCCATCAGTTTTTCTTTCCTGCCCCAATGATAATGCAGAATCAAAAAGCTGTCCTCATCTCAGCCAACTCTCATATCTTTTGTCATTTATAAATCAGTTCTCAGGATTAAATTGGCATTAATAAAGGCATTGATACCAGAACTTCATGCTACACATATTCCAAAACTTATCAAATATATACAGGGTGTCCCATTCAGAATGTGTTACAGAACAAGTGAAGATTCTATGATTCAAAAGAAGACGATTAAATGAAACGTGTTTAGATAAAATATTCGATTCTGAAATACATGGTGTTAAAATTGAAAAATCAAAATTCATTATAATGCTATAATTTTTACATTTCTCAGTATATTTTATAAATTCCCAACAAGAGTAGGCGAATTATTAAAAAGAAAAAATTGAAGTTTTTAGAAGGGATGCGAAGGTGTTACCTACCCATGCCATACGCCGCTGCCATAGTTTATTTAACTGACTTTTGCTGATAGGTGTATCTTAGACAACGAAAACGTTTGAAGATTTAAGTAAAATTATACCGAGGTCAGCTTGCGCTTTCCCTGGGATCCAGAGAGAGGCTTTGGGGAGCTCGTCCATCCTTACAACAGCGAGTGTTGCTCCTTCCCATGTTTTTAAGGTTGGTACCGTGGTTTTTAGCCATTTCAACGTCAAGTCATCGTCACACGTTACTCTGATGATTTGTGGCTTGGTTTTGCTGCAGGAGGCGGACAAAATTGTTTTATCCAGCTCTCCCATCAATGTCTTTTTGACATGGATTTCTCTTTCGGTAGTTATCTTACCGTAAGGATTATCCTTGTCTATTATAGCTACTTTCAGGTCGCTCGTAGCTGCATCCTTAGCTTAACCCAGACAACTTTGTGGTCCTGTCTGGGTTTTTCCCCTTCCGGGGCGTAACCTCAGAAGAGGTGTGAGATCGCGGCCTTTTCTTGCCCCTAGTTGCGTCGTGTTCCTGGCCTCTTGTGGAGGCAGAACTAGCGTCGCTGCCTAAGGACTTGATTAAGCCGCTTTTGTTTATTTTGGAGTGAGGGAGTTTGCTGAGGGTGGCCGTTGCCGTAGCACTGCCTGCCTGCAGCTTATCCCTCTTCCTCCTTTTTGCTTCAGACCCAGAGATTCTTTTGCCTGTCCGGGGCCTGTTCGTTGGAGGTGAACTACTTTGTCCATCCTACTTTTTTGGAGTTGTTCAGCATCCTGCGCCAGAGTTGGACTTAGTCGTCCAGTCTCCTTTGCTGGAGGTGAGCGTCGATGTCCAGCCTCTTCGGGTTTTTGTGTTTCAGAATCCATATGGTTCCCACGAGTAGCTAGGGAAGGAAAGGTCGACCGACGCAGAGCCCCGCATGCGCCGGCAAGGCTAGATACAAGAGGGTGTCGCCAGGTTCCCTCAGGGGAGCGTTTGCTGCCGCATTTGCCCCTGCGACAATTCATCCGTCGGCACGTTACCTTACACCTTAGATTGGGGGAGTTGGTTCGCGGCTGTAGCTTTCGCAAAAGATTTTGAGAGTTTTTAGGCTCTCGCACTCTAGTTGTCTTCCACTAACCAAGGAAAACTTAGCCGTTCTCCTATCCACCACCCGGAGACGCGCTCAGTTGGCACTCAACCGCTGAATGTGTGGTGCAGCTTGCAACATATACTATTAGAATGTATAAATGTCTATTAATGTAAGAATAGATTTTATCTTAACATGCTGAAAATACTTGCACTCAATAACAACAGCCTTAAATGTAGATAATATGCTTAACGATCTAACAGCTTACAGTATCTTGCTAATTAGAAATTTTTTTAAAGACAAGTTATAAATTGTGTGTTTTAGTCTAGCAAATCTGGAAAGGATGATAAGTCAGACACAACTCTTTGCAGGGATTAAAGGTCAAAGAAGAACACCACTGGTTAACGTTAAAACTAAGAGTTAAGAGAATAGGAATCAATTTTATGCCGTGTCCCTACGTACTGAATTTTAGGGTCTGTCTCGTGGATCCACCGGTCATTTTGCTCTGCTCTTACCGTTTCCGAGATATTTGCGTTTTAGGTTTTTGAACTAGAACGGCCGAAGATAGAGACGAACGGCATAGAGTCCTCTAATATATCTGTCCTACTTCTACATTTGTGTGCATTTCCAAAATAATTATATCAGTAGTTACCGAGAAAAATGAAAAAAACATTAAAATCTTATATATGAAAAGCAACTGCGTCCACCACTTAATTTGTTGTGCTCTCTTTTATATGTAACCAAATTTGCATCAAAATCGGAGACGAAAATAAATTATTCATGAAATCAAATCCGAAAAATGAACTTTTGGAAAAAATGGTGAAATTTCAAAAAAAAAAAAATAGTTTTTATTGCATGCGTCGATAGAGCTCCCTACGAACTACATTTTAGGGTCTGTCTGGCCGTGGATCTACTGGCCACTTTGCTCTATCTCTTTCCGTTTCCGAGATACCTAATTTGTGTTTTAAGTTTTTGAACTAGAACGGCTGAAGATAGAGATGAACGGCATACTTCCCTAAAATATCTGTCCTACTCTACATTTGTGTGAATTTACAAAATGATTTGATCGGTATAGTTACCGAGAAAAAATTAATATCTTATAGATGAAAAGCAACTGCGTTTGCCCCTTAATTTGTTGTGCTCTTTGATATGTAACCAAATTTAAAAAATTTTTTGCATGTGAACGTCTGTCCTTGACTCACTGGTCATTTTGCTCTTTACCTTTTACTTGAATAATGCCTAAACAGCTCAAGATAGAGACGGAGGGAAATATCACTCAATATGTCCTGCTATACGTGTGTGCTTATTTACAAAGTAATTGGATAATTAGGTACTTAGAAAACTGAAAAACACAATAGCCATATTTTGTCCAAAATATAAATAAAATGGCGGATGCGCTATCTATTAATGATCGATAAAAGTAAGAACAGTTGTTTTCTGTTATGATCCAAACAAAATGGGTAGGTCGCCATCTATCAACGAATAGCTAAACGACGGAACAGTTATCAGTAGGTTTCTGTTTCTTCAACAAAATTCTTCCTCCATGATCAGCAATATTGGACGGCATTGGTTTTTATCGAAGGGAAAGGTAGGAAGGATCCATTTCTTAATAAATTAAAAGAAGCGGTTAAATAATTTAATCGTTTTTATGATTGATTAAAATATTCTTTATATTTATTGTGAAATTGACCTTTAGTAAAAAAAAGACTAATAATAGATATATTTCTTATTAAATTAAATTATTCAGATGCAAAATAAAATATAAATTAATACTTAATAAAATAGGTACACGGATTACCCGTAACATATTTTCAATTGAAATATAAATCGGTGGATACAAATGTAAGCTTTTCAGATACATTAATACCCGTATATAATAGACTTTTACTTTGAAATACATGATTGAAAACAAATCAGAAAGGCTTGTAAGAAGAAGGAAACTTTGAAGGCAAATTTCTTTGTAAATGTTTAACAACATGATCCCATTGCAGTTCCTTACAATACTCGATGATCTTCTTTTCTACATCTTCACTAGGCTTGTCCTCCTGCACTTTCAATACGTATTTTAGCAATCGTCCCAAATGGTTGTAAATAAATGCGTGCCAAATTGCGAAATATAATACGTGGCTTGTTAATACCTGTAAAAAGAGAAATATACGTTAAAGAAAGAAAATAACGACAATTAAGGCAATTGCCCTTCTAAATCCAGTACCCAGTTTCTAAAGAGTGTGTAGGCAGTGGCGTAGCCAGTCATTTTTCATGGGAGAGGTTTTTGAGAATTAAGGGGAGGGTTCCATCAAGAAAGTGAATAAAAACAGTCAATAGCGATCAGTGCCAATACTATAGCGGAAATGGTGATGTGAGGACCCTCCATGGGGGGTTCTGACCCGAAACCCCCGCCGTAGCTGCGCCACCGGTAGGCGGATTGAGATTTTTTGCTATTTAATACACCTTGTGCTTTTCCATAGCTTCAGCCCACTCAACCTAATAGGAGCTGCGCAGCTGCCACTTTTCGGCATTAACTTGTTGATGATGATAAATACTTACTTTTGCATCTGTTGGATCCACAAATTTGACCAATGTTTTCCATGTATTTGAAATATCTTCTTTGTTTGTGTCTTGGATTTCCTTTTTTTCATCAATTAAGCGACATAATGCGATACCTTTCCTAGCCAAACATTCGATGAAAATATTCTTTTGTTGTTCCATGGAACTAAAATAAACAATACATAATTTTGTGGTGGTATGAAGTACAGCCATTGTTCAAAAGTTGCCTGAGGAAACATTTCTGAAACGTCACCATCACTTGCATTATTCTCCTGACATTTTGCAAAGTGATTACCACCTTTTTTCCTTCATATAACTTTATGATGCAGACACAATGGACATTTCAAAACCCGTCAATTCTTTTATTTAAAATCTATAGACTTCTGCAAAACAGTCATAAAAAAATTGGTGTCACATTGACAAAGTGTCGGTGAGTATGATGTTAATTTCTTTAAGGAATAATGGTGTATTACTGATTTATCTGTGATACATTTTTATAATTTACATACAAAAAGAACACTAACTTATTTGGTTACCTGATAGAATCATGGGTAAAAGGAATAATACCAGACGATTATGGGAAAACAATTTAATTGGTTTTTAAAACACATACTTGCCTTTTAATTTTGGTAGCATCTGGCCTCAAATCCACCTTAGTTGCCATAAAAACTAGAAGTGATTCTGGGTTGATATTGCAGAGAACCTTATTACAAATATTCAACACTTTATTGAGCTCTTCCACTGAGGAGTTTTGTTTTTTGAAGCCAGGCAAAATACGTTTATCTAAAGGATCTATAACTTGAAGATAAGCTGAATATACAAGAAAATGCTCTGGGTAGTCTTTTATCAACTCCTCGTATATTGCATTTGCCGAGACTACATCTAAAACAGTAACGATAAAGATATTAATTATCACATCTTCTTAGCTCTTAAAATTATTTAAAAATATAAATATCAGATGTTTAGTGAATAATTGAATGCTATGCTGGAACAAGGTTGTAAGTGCCAAATCCTGCTTTTTTATAAAATAAAAATAAACGTTTTATTAATTTTTAGACATTTAAAGTGTTTATAAACCTAATATGATTGACTTTGGGTTGCATAATATTACTTTAGGTTATATTTCCTTAGATGTATAAAGGACGGGGTTTTATGAATTTAGTATTATAAAACAACGTTGCATATCCACGTCGGTTACAACGTTGTTATATGGAAATGGGGAGATTAGAACATTGTTTTATGTTTAAAAATAAAGCACAAGTAACAGTAAGAAACGTGTTTATTAACTTAAATTTAAAACATCATTGGGTTGAGTAGGTAACTAAAAATTGTAATTATTATACTCTTAATATTTTCAGAAAAATTCACATACACAACCAAATTTATATGGAATCACTGTGTATTTCTGAATAAACTTTTTGTACGGAAAAAATTTGGTATCCAACTTTAAGATATGGCTTATTGTTCTAAACAAACATGATAATAAAGAAGAAACGACTGCTGCGATTTATTATCTTGTGAATTTTGTGTTCAAAAGTAAAATCAGGATCCTCCGGTAATTTTATTTCGTTCCAAAAAAACAACAAAATGCCTTATGTTGGACTAACAGATGTACAGAGGGGAAGAATTATTGATCTCCCCAATGAGACGTAGCAGGGTGTTGTATCAAAAATATATGAAAGATACTTGGAACTAGAAGCTTTCAAGAACAGGCCCAGACAAAGTCGTCAAAGAGTCACAACTGAACAACAGGACCGCTTTGTGTGCCAAATTGCTAAAAGAAATCCCAGTGTTTCTCATCCAGAGCTACAACAACAATTTCTGGAAGCTACAGGTGTGAACGTTTCAGTTGAAACCCTAAGAGACTTCGCGATCGAGGGTTCTACAGTAGGCGAGAGCTACGGGTCGCACCGTTATCTAGGCAAAACAAAATTGACCGGCTAAATTGGTGCTTTCACACCAAAACTGGACAATTGAGAATTGGCAAAATGTTCTTTTTTCGGATGAGACTAGAATTGGCCTAAGATCAGATGACCAACGAATTCGGGTTCTCAGGGTTCCAGGAAGATGAGCGAGATTCCAAGCTGTCAGATCTGTCCCAAGATATCAAAGAGGAACAGTAATGTTCTGGGGAGTTATTATGCTGTAAGCAAAAACTCCATTGTTACCACAGTTTCAGGATCACATCTCCGGAAATATCTTTAAAAGCTTTTAATAAGCTAAATGAGACTGTTGACTTTCTTCACTGTATTAGCAATATATGATTCCCATTTTAAGTCTCTAGATATGATTACACCAAGATCCTTTTGTGTTTCGACTGAAGCTATTGCGTTTGTATCTATGGTGTACTGTAGGGATTATTTGGGCCAATGTGTAATACTATACACTTGTTAAGGGGTAGTAACCATTGCTGGGACCAGATTCCTATTTTTAAGTCTTTTTTCATTTTGTGGGAACTTTCCAGTGATTTGCAGATCTTTCCATCGTCTGCATAAAAGTTGGCTTCAAACTCGATGATTTTGCATAATTCGCTGGTGTATAAAATAAATAATGAGGGGCCCAAGATCGAACCTTGTGATACTCCAATTTCTACTGGATGGTTGTTTGACAGCTGTCCATTTACTCTTACGCAGAACTCTCTGTTGAATAAGAAACTATAGAGCCTTTTATTCCAAAGTGTTTCAGTTTGCTAAGCAGCCTTCTGTGGAACTTTATATCAAATCCAGATATATCACATCAAAAATCGCCATGCATTACCGTTTCGATGATAAGGGTTGGGTTTTCCTCACCTGTAAGTCAAATGGCACCATCAATCATCTTTAAGGCTCCGGAGCGCCACGGCAAATAGTAATAATCGTCCCTTTCCCTACACAAGTCACTCAGTCGGCTTCAGGGGTTGAAATTGGCTCGTAAGGGGGTAAATTAGGGAGATTATTATTATTATTAATTGGCTGGTTGTTATTTCAAACTGTCCACTGGTTAACTGCACTTAGAAGATTTGTAACAACAGATCTTATGGGCGTAAAACCATGCTGATTGCTTGGTAAAATTCTATGTTCCATCATAAATTCGCTTACTTCTTTTGTAATGAACTTTTCCATTGTTCTACAGATACAGCTTGTAAGGTCGACTGGACAGTAGTTTATGCCTTTCTTCCATATAGGAGTGACTATAGGCTGTTTTCAGTCTATTGGCAGTTCCTGTTCTTGCATAGAATCGTTCATAACTGTCGCGAGGAGATTAAGAAGGCTATTAGAACATTTTTATGGGTCGGATTTCATCTATTCCACGACTTGAATCTTGTTTAATACTATTTATTTCCTTTTTCTGGGGTAAATTCTATGTTTACTATGCTATTCTCAACTCTTTCTGTTGCAGTTATTTGCGGTGATTCTGTATCAGGTTTTGTTGTTTAAGCTGCACTGAACTGTTTTGCAATCTCAGCTGATTCTGTGATCGCTAAATTTGTTGTAGGGTTTCCTAGCCTGATTGAAGTACTGTTTGTATTCAGTATTCTTTTAACAAAGGAGTAAAATTTCTTTTCGCCCACTTTTTAAGACGTTATGTTCATAATCTTTTCTAGATAGCGCCAATAAATTTTTAAGTTAATTCTAATTTGTATATGCAGCATAATCTTCTTCAGCTCTTGTTGACTTGTACCTATAGCCACAGGTTTCGTTTTTTATTAATTTCTTTGAAGTAGGTTTGATTGGTCCAGGATTTTTGATGGTTTTTATTTATTAATTCTAGTGGAATATTGTCATTTATTTCTTTGTGCAGTAAATTTCTTAGTTTCGTAAGAACTATTAGGAGCATCTTGTAAATGTGCACTAAGTTGAGCTCACTATTGACTATTGTATAATCTGCTTTCCAGAAGTTTCTTTTTTTAACACTGTATGTGGATCCAGTTTGGATATTAAGTTGGGATTCTTTGAACCACGCCCTAATTCAGAAGTTGTGATTCTCCCATCGAAATGTGCTTGCCCCCAGAATAAAATATATAATGAATAATTATAATTTTTAATATTATAAATTACTGAAATAAAAAATATAAAACTTCTGTATTTCACCACTAACAGTACCCCACTATGTTTTCGTATGCATCTCTTACTTCTTCAATGGGATTATACAATGACCTCACCACATATAGGACTATGAGTGGAAGCGGAAGAAATCTCATACCACATTATCTTTGAACATGAAGCTTTAGCTAGGAGACTACAAAACCTTTTTGGTTAGAACCAAAGGCACATGACTGGTTATAGTCTGAAAATCTTTTAAGTCTCTCAAAAAAAAAAAAAAATTATAAAAATGTTCATAAATTTGCTGATATCTGTAAATATTATTTTATGTTTTATTTTTTATATTACTTTACACTTTGTTAATTACTGTCCCATGTTACTTGTTTAAATTAATTTGAAATGAAAAATATAATTCAAACTTATAGATAATAATGGAAATGAAAATATTGCCCGTGCTCAGGCCTTCCTTTTGTGGGTGTTTTCATCTTTATTTGCTATCTTAAAGTAAACATTGAATAACTACTGTATATTTATATAGTACCTGAACCAGAGATAAAGATAATTTTTAAATAACATCTTGATTGCACACATTTAAATATTGCTGCATGATGATCCTAATCAGGTAGGTTGAAAAAAAAAAAATAATAGATGTGTAAAAAATGTTACCCATTTTTGCTAAGCTCTGTGTTCTGACATCTCTGATTGCTTCTTTGCATTCTTCTAACTTGGATTTTTCGGGATTTCCTCCATTAGAGGACTTTTTTGGAGTGAGATCATACAAAATATACTTAAATGGATATACATCGGCTTTTTTGCCGTATTCGTCTTTAGCATACGTTATGGTACCAGTTAAATAATGTGCGAAATTGTTAGACTTTAGGGAATACCTAAAAAAATTAAAAAAACATTGAAAAATTATGACAGATTGTAAATTTAGAGCAAAAATCTTACTTTTCGGGAGCTAAGGGAGCTATGTATAGCGGAATAGGAACATGTGGATTACTGTTATTAGTCACTCCAGTTTTCTTCCCTCCAACGAGAGCTTGAGAATAAGACAAGTACGTATCCATAGTAATATTGGCATTTAATTTTTGTAATAACAATAAAGGTGCTTCGTTTATTTTATCCAAATAATCCTTTTTATCATGCCTAACTTGCAGTCTTACACTGTAATCTCCTTTTTCTAATTTTATTGTATACTGAAAACAAACATATTTTATTTTAAACATTTTATTAATTAATTTATTTATTAAATAATCCAATTACCTACACAGACTTACCTTTTCCGGATATGCGTCACCACAGCCCAAAAGTTGTTTATTGGAATCGTAAAGCATCCAAAATTGAGATTCATATTCTGATTCATACAGCATGTTACTCAATAAAGCCAAATTTGGAGACACTTCAGCTGGTTTGGTCAAATTAAAATTATATACCAGCATTAACTCGTAAATTTGTCGACCAGGCGGTATTATGTCTCTGGAAGTCAAGGGTGATATTTTGGCTTCTGAAGGCCTAAAAAATTACCTATTATTCACATTTAAAATTGAATTTTTTGTTGAAAGAATCGGTTGGATTTCTGAGTTAATTGCTTTTTTATACTTATCTAAATACTACGAGAGTTTAAAAGAGCTATATCAACAATAGGTCAAAAAATGTTACTACTTAAATGACTTTATTTCACAATTTTTTTCAAAGAAAGTTGTAAAATTTTCCTATTAATAATTAAAGTAAAAATTATCTAAAAACATAATTAAAATAAGCGAGCAGGTACTAACTTTATTATTAGGACGGAGTTTTTAAGAGTAATAGAAGGTGCTATGTCTTCCCCTTGAAGTGTTTTGATTTCCACACTGTGGATTCCATCAGCAGCATGCATGGTGATAGATGGTTGACAAGGTTTGACTCCGTAAAACGAAATACTGTAATCCAGATTTGATTCCCCAATATTAGCCCAGTATTTAGCGATGACTAACTCAAGAATCAGATCCGACTTGACGGGAAAACCCAATAGAACGTCAGACTTTGATGTAACCGCTATGGTTTTATTGATTTCTAATGATTTACAATATTGCCTAGGAACTAACTGAGATCCGTGTATCACAAATCTTCCAGTATCTTCATCTGAAGTAAGTTTTAGAACAGCCCATGTTGCATTTTGAGGCACAGTATAGTAATGTCTCTTTATAGTATTAGGTTTAAAGTTAACTCTACTGTAAGTTGCTTGATATTTAGGCTCCTTAACTTCTTTGGGTTGCACAATGGTTATCGGTACCTTGAAGATAGGTCCTTTTTCTATACATTTAACATCGTATCCATTCAAGAAGGTAGAATGCAATCCTTCAGCTAAACCATCAGTGTCGATTTTAATAGCGAACATCCTAGCTACATTCGACAGGTCCAAATGTGATGGATAGCTAATGTATGTCGCGTCGCAGGATAAAACGAACTTCTGATTGTAGTAAATTTTTTTTTCGGCTATGACCTCGTCAGAATTTAAAAAATGTGGTTCAATGGAAATTTTGAAAGATTGTGAGGTAGAATGAGGCTTTGAACGAATGTAGATGCCTTTACAATTTCCGGATCCACACTGGATTTGAAATCTAACATCTCTATCGTCTGCGCTATTATAACTAATCAGGTATTCAAAAGCTTTTTCGATCTGAATCAAACCACTGCCTTGTGCAGGCACTTCGACGCCGTCTAAGAACTTGGCGGTGTTTTCTAGAGCCCTGCGTACTATATAAGGCGAAAAATGCAAGTTACGTTGCAAAAGTCCTGATAACAGCAAGCACACTACACCCGCAGCATGAGGCGAAGCCATCGATGTGCCGTTCATCAACTGAGAGTATCTCAAAGTAAAATTGGGCACCGACGTTATCGCTCCTCCTGGAGCACAAACGTGAACTCCGATTCCGCCGTCGAGAGTGGGGCCCCTAGACGACCAAGTGTATGGAGTACCTAAAAGTTGTTTGTAGAAAAAATACAGAATACGGCATTAAAAACATCACGATTTTTTCAGTTCTCCAAATATTGAAAAAAAAAAAAAACATTATTTACACTAGAGAAAACTAAAATTAAGTTCTAGCATTCATACCCAAAGATTATAAACACATTTATTAGTTATAAATAAACTCATACCTATATCATTTTCTTATAATGGTGCTAAACTGTATAATCAAATATCTAATAATATAAAAAATAAGCAAACACTTGCTACTTGTAAGCAAGCATTTAAAAAAATATTTTTATTTCAATTCTAAAAAATTATATTTTATCACTGACTGACTCACATTGTACATATTGTAGGTCTGTTCCAATACAGGCAAAAAAACGATATTACTATACAAATCATGCGCTGCAACACTTTTTGCGAAGAGCACATGATTTTAAAGTAATTTAGAACATTTTATCAAGAATAATTTTATGAAATGAAAGATTTTTGCACTTTTATTAAACTTTTTGGGCCACCCACAAAATAACGAGTATTCACCAATACCTGTATCACATGTGATCTGAGAAACAAGAAATTTGATGAAAATGGCTGTTCTTAAGTGAGTTTTAGGGTAACTTAAGTATCAGTTCTGTCAAATAGTTCAGTAATATTGCACGTGGGTATTGCACCTAGGGTTATACATATTATTTTATTACCCAATAACTTGAATTTTATATTAAATGTAAATAGTTATATAGAAATAAGAGAAAGAAAAAAGAGAAAAAGAACAATCAATTACAACATTGACATGCACAAATCAAAATTATTTCCACGACTTTTTTTTTTAGAAAATGATTTTGATATTTCTGACTTACAAGGGAAATTAATTATATATTGTAAAATAAAGTTAAAATACTATAAATTTATAATGGACCCTCAGACATCAACACACTTTAGACCCTTTTAACAAAGTTTTTAATATAATACTGCTCGGGCCATCCATATGATTGATTGCTATACACTTTTATACTTTAGACATTTTTAAGAATGTGATATTTTATAATTGGTAAATTTAAAATTACCTGGTAACTTCTGTCTCATTGCATACTTTGCTACCATCTAATCAATTACCACATTGACATGCACAAATCAAAAGTATTTCCAAGAAACTTTTTACATTATCTCGAAAAATGTTTAAATTGTTTTGATTTGATATGTTTTGATGTACAAGGGAAATTATTTGTATATTGTAAAATAAAGTTAAACACACATTTCTAATGCGCCCTCAGACATAAATGCACACTTTTAGACCCTTTTAATATTGCAATACTCCATAGCTGCTCGAGGCGCTCCTTTGATTGATTTAGTACATTTTTTATTTTAGACATATTTTTAAAATGTGATATCTTATATTTTGTGAACTGAAAATTACCTGGTAACTTCTGTCTCATTGCATACTCTGCTACCATCATTTCAGGTGATACATATGCTCCTATACTAATAATTGGCTCGTTAAATATATCTGAAGGGGTACTGATGGTATTTAAAGCTGGACCATGATTACCAGCAGAAGACACCCAGGTAACGCCATATTTGTTTACGATTTCGTTTATTAAATCACCTATTCTTCTAAAAATATTTAAAAAACAATCAGTCTATTATATTTTGTTAAAATTTTATTCATACCCTGTGTCAACCCAATGCGCATGTTCGCCATAGCTCATATTTATAACGTGAATATCCATTATTTTCTTCAGTTCGATTATTTTGATCATTGCTCTTATTAAAGCAGTTCCTGTTTCCATAGAACCCAATCTGCCGTCTCCTATTGTCAAAGATACAATCTGTGCACCTGGTGCGACGCCATTTTCTTCTGGGGATTCGGGGAAATATCCAGACGCTATTGAAGCAACATGAGTACCATGACTGGCTGGAAATCAAAAAGATACTTTTAATTACTTAATGAATTATACGTCAATTCTACTAAATGCAACTATAAAAATTGGATACAAATTTCATTTTTAGGTGACAAATTGAATTTTTAAAGTATTAACGTCCACACTGGTGAAATAATACCTAATAAGAGACTGTAAGAAATGCCCGTATGCCCAAAATATATATGTATTTAACTAATTTTTAACAAACTCTGCATATTAATGAGAGAACACTATCACTATTAAAGTTCAAAATCAGAACTAAGCAAATGCTTCTGCAAAGGGCATACAAATTAATGACAGATTATTTGAATGAATTAAATTTTATATACATACTTTTTATTTACATTCGTGTTTTAATTTGTTTATATCACTTAATCTGCAAATGCAGTAAGACATAAATGATACATTTTATAGGAGAGCCAAAAAACTTCGTATATTAATTTTTTATACAAAAAGATTTTCTACATGTTTAAACATATTTAGTTTAGTGTGAACCGAATTAGGGAAAATAATTAACAAATATTGTTTTTTTTTTTTGAATTAGAGACATTCAACTTTAAATCATAGAATAAATTTCAACATTTTAAACAATCTGTACTGCATATACCCATGTTCATTTTTAAGCCTAGTTATTTTACCAGGAGATAATATATTGTATTATTTTCTATAGTCTATTTTTTTCAATTGTGGACTTACGGCATTTGCATATTAAGTCGACGATATTCATACTGCATGTCATTTTATTTCTATTTTTTCGTGTAATAAAAATTATTATTAATAAAATCGCCCATCTTTTTCAGTCCAGTTTTGAGTATTTGTATGAAGTAACCTTGATCAATTAACAAAGCGGCAGAATAATTTTAAATTCAAATAAAATCAAATTTGACATATTTTTTTGTCTTCTTCTATACCTTTGTGAACTTCTTGGCCTTTTTCTAAAAGAAATTTGGCCATTTTGAAACTGGTCTCTTTCAAACAATAATTTAGTCAGTATTTTTTATTCTGCATACTGTGAAAGGTAACAGGCAACGAAAAAGGTTATTGAAAAAATAATGGGTCCTATGATTGAACGTTTATGTTATCCATAACGTACATGTTAAGTCGAATTTTAACAGCAATGAAGCAAGTTTGTATGATGGAAAACTGTTAAATTAGAACATAACAGGCGGAAAATAACAGTAATGTGTTGGAAACCGTTTTTCATCATACGAACTTGCCTAATTACTGTTAAAACTGAGCCTAACATGTACGTTACGGATAACGTAAACGTTCAATCATAGGACCCATTGGGTCCTATGATTGAACGTTTATGTTATCGGTAACGTATATGTTAGGCCGAATTTTAAAAGTAACGAGGCAAGTTCGTATGATGGAAACCTGTTAAATTAGAACATAACAGGCGGAAAATAACAGTAATATGTTATGAAAGACTTTACATCATACGAATTTGTCTCTTTGCTGTTAAAACTCGGCCTAACATGTACGTTACGGATAACGTAAACGTTCAATCATACCACCCAATATCAAATTTCTTCAAGAAACAGGCCACAAAGGTATAGAAGAGAGATTTGACATGTACTATTTGAATTTATCTAGAATTTCAATAAAAAATATCCAAATTTCCATTGGTAAATAAAAGGTATTTATTGAATAATAAGAATTTTTATTGCCCAACCCTATCAGGTGGTACATTTTTGGTTTTAAGTCCATTCTGACAACATTTAACAGCTCTTGTTGGGAAAACCCAGTCCCAGTAATGGTTTGTGTTTTTTTTATAATAATCACTTTACATAATTTTCTTATTTTATTATTTGTCTTATTATACAAGTGATGTTATCTGAACTTTCAGAAACTATAACAGGACTTTATTCATCACTTAAAAAGGAAAATATACAATAACAGTAATTTATGCAAGGAAAAACATATTTAAACTAATGTTGTTACTATGTTTATATTAGGTGGAAACTTGTAGGATTTCAGATCACTGCTAAGCCTGGATACTACATTAAATTCTAGAAGTACACTCTAGAGACATGGTAAATTTAAGTATGTAAGCAAACTAGGCAAGAGTTCCTTTGACACGGTTTGGGTTAATAATATATTTCTTCCCGATGTAAATAATTTCTTTGTTGATGGAGATTATTTTTTATCTGACTACTTTTCTGTTAATTTAGTACTAAACTCTGAAAGTAATGAAGTAAAAAATAATATTCAAAATCTTAAAAAATTAATCTAGAAAAACTTTATCTTCAAGTTATAAATTTAAAATGAATCAATTAAACAGCCTGTTTTATCCCTAATCCTAAAGAGTCACTAACTGATTTTTATATAGCATAAGTAATAAAGGATGGAGATGAAGAGTACCTGGGTGTTAAATTGTACATTTAAATTGAAATTTACTGAGAAGATTTTGGTAAATATTTAGCTTGTTTCCTATAGTGAATATGATTATTATTCCATCCTTAGTGGTAAGTAGGGGAAAGCTGTTAGTAAAATTATTACTATGTATTATCGAATTTTATGGATTAAAGTTAAAGAGGAAATAGAGAAAAAATAAAAATTTACTTACAACAAACTCCAACTAATTCCAGAACATCTCCATCTTCGTGAACATTTATGCTAAAATTCAAATTATCTAAGTCGGTAAGAGGAGCATAATTCTTAGTGATGCTGTATTCTCCAAGTAATTGACAATTTGATAAATTGCCATCATCGGAAGTGTCAACACAGCATACCCAATGTTCTCCATTATGGAACAAAATACAGTCGTATACCGGCCCAATGTCATTGTATTTCTTATCGAAACTATTTAGAATGTCCTGTTTGGCATCTAAATTTTCTTTTTCTAATTTCTCCGATTCACCTAAATTTTTATCTGAAATAAAATTAAACAGAATTACCTACAATCAATTTAAAAATATCTACTAGTTTGATTAGTTTAGTGGTTTAAAAACCAAATATTTTTATTGCCTTAGCACTTCCAGAAAGGAGGTTAAGAACCAGCCATGGTCTTATTTGAGACCCAAAGCAATTCACGGCTTGGTACAAACCTCAGAACAATTTATTTTAACTACTTAGTTCTTCTAGACAGTGTTTCTAAATCTAATTGTTGATCTATCTACTTTATACTCACTAGTTTGTTTCGATTCAAAATTAACTATTTCTCTAAGAGCTGCACTGACATTTTTCCTGTGTCCCTCTTCCCAGTTTTTCTTTTTATATTCAGATTTGACACGGTCCTTAAGTCTATCTGGGTAAAGATCAAAAGCGTGCTTAACACCTAACCTGTAGATATTATTGGGATTGTTCCATGAATTTGGTATCTATAAATTAATAATTCTAAATTAGTCTAAATATTGCAAATAAGCAATGGATGCTTACTTTTAATTTTCTACCAGTCAATGTCGTAATAACTCCGTCAACAGGTATCACTTTTGTAGTTGTATTTACATCTCCACAACCACTGCAGTCAAACCGTTCTATAACTTTCACTTTGCCATCAGATGTTTCCTAAAATATTTAAATATGTTTTTTAATGAGAATGTCTTTATTAAGGCAGAATTAGGCAAGGTAATCACACATTATTTTGAAAGGTTAAGTAATGAATAATTCGGATTTAAAAAGACAAGACAATCACATTCATTATGTTTTTAAAAATCATCTTCTCTGTGAAACAGTCTTTATAGACCTTCCATAAGAGTTTGATTGTGTAAACCAATCTATGTTACTTAATTAATAAGTTTGGTCAATATGGTGTAAAGGAAGTTGCTGATCAATAATTGATAGAATCAAACTTATCTAATGGACCACAAAGTGTTTGTTGTAATGACAATCATAGCTATCAGGTAATTATGCGAAGAGAAGTGCCTCAGGAGCCTATCCTGGGAGTATTCATTTTCATAATATTTATATTTATGCTGATGATACAAACTTTTTTAAACAATAATAACACTAGAATAGAAGTAAAAGTTGGAAAGGCTTTTGCCAGTTCTCCCACTTTATACACATAAATTGACAGGTTTGCGGCGGATCTCACCGAAGTGGACGCGATACATTGGCGTACAAAATTATTTTATAGATGTTAATAACAATTTCGAATAAATAGTTTAATAAATTGTGAATAGCTGTTGAAATTTTGTAAAATTATGATTTGAATATTATAATACATGTTTAATAATTATTTATAGTCCATAAATACATGCGATTGTCCAGTTCCGCCGATAACAATTTAAAATTACTTATTCTATGAAACGACACTGGCAGGTAAACATTACTGCGAAATTCTCGAAGCCGTTTGACGTGGTTTGACGTTTACCCCCTCTCTACCTACCAAAAGCCTTTCCAACTTTTAACTTCACAATAAAAGTTAGCCAAAAATATATAACACTATGTTCAATAAACTTACAAGGTAAACAACACCATGTGTACATAGTGTTTTTAACTCTCATGTTAAATTCTCTAAAATTTCTATGAGAACACAGAATGTTGTAGGTATATGATACATTATGTCATGGAAAATTTGCTATCAGAACATAGAAATATGTCATAAAAACCAACAATTTATGCAAATAAAAAAAAATATAGTAAACAATAAATAAATATTATGAAAATAATTGGGTCTAACTGCATTTCTTGTTGAAAAATATAATACAGGTAATTAGGTAATTATTGAGCATAAAAGGTGTCCAAACAACATTCAATCTGCTCTACTAAAAAGTTGACTAGAATGGCATAGGGCAGTTTTCCTCCGAGGTACTAATTAATCTGGCAAAAATTTGGTTTGAAAACAAGTTATACCTAAATGAGAATAAAACTTAAATCATCAACTTCAACATCAAGTCAGGTAAACTTTTTTGGTATATACATGGATACAAAACTTTTTGGGACGCCATATATTTAGAGCTGCTTTTAACAAAATAACTCATGGTTTAAGTTGAAAATGTAATTTTTTTATTTTATGTTAATTTACCAATAAGAACACCTATTTTTAAATCAGCCCATCTGAATAAAAAAAAAATAAAAAATATATTTCTAAGTTTTCCATTGCCATTAAGTTTTATAACATCTTGAACAATAACTTTTAAAAGGTTCATTAAGTGACTTGCTAAATGACAAAAGTACAAGGCACAGTATAAAGATATTACTATCTTTATACTGTGTACATGCCAAAAAAGGGTGTCTAAGTACTATATAATATATACAACTTCCAAATATCTGAAAATTTGCTTTTTTAATAACTATAATACATTACAAAATCTATCTAAAGCAGAATTCTATTGGCAAGAAGTATTGTTTATTCAGTTTTGTAAATATTTTCTAATAACAAGTATTACTTTTATTACTTCTGCATTGTGATCAACTGCTTTAATGATTTTCCTATTGTTCGATAAGGATAGAGTGATCTCTTCTGACCAAATGCTGGACGTTTTTTTAACTTAACATTATGTTTTGTCTATTTGTTACGTTTAGGGTTGCCACATTTTCATTTCCCAAAACCTAGACATGATCGATCCAACTAAGAGATACATAATAATATAACATGTACATACCTAAAATGAAATACTGATGCATTTAGTTATCTGTTGTAATTTATTGCACTAGAAGGCACAATATATCTACTATCTACATATTTGCTTTTAAATTTTTGGAAAAAAATATTTGTCATTATTTCCCAGAAAGACTAAAACAGAATTTAAGGTACAATGTTGCCAAGTCAACTAAATTTTCCTTGCTTCTAGCTACATTAGGAAAAATTATATTTAAGTTAATACTTAAGTGTTTATTCATATTAAAACATTATTTAATCCTTTAGAACTAGGAGAAACCAAATGAGGATGAAATAGGCCACTTTTTATGCTGTCTTATCCATCCAATAGTCCTATATAAGCTCCTTTGTACCATTATTTATTTGCCAAACATTTCAATAGAACGTTTTGTTATTCAAAAAACAATCAAACTAGAGAATGACCATTTATTATAATTATATTCTATTACTGTACCTTTAATCCAGGAGCTCCAGGATCTATTCCAGAATCTAAAATCGCTATGACTATTCCTCTGCCATCATACTGGGGATATTTGGAAAGAAATGACACTACCCCAGTTTCTTTTTTTGGTAAAAGGCTCCAAACCGGAAATTCAACATCGTTTGTGATTTCAGACATAATGATGTGTTAACTATAAATAAAAGAGAAACAAACACGAAATTTATTTTCTGAAAATTTTCAAGTTAAATGTCTTTTTTTACAAAATACTCATTTAAGTCACTCACTTTTGATTCCAATCTAATTAATTATGTTTTTAATCTGAATATCAAATTATAGTTATTTCAACCAATATTGAATTAAATTTATTATAACCTATTTTTGCACTTTGCACTTGAATTTAATAATTGCACGTCATTTTAATAGATAAAGAAGTAATGTCTAATATTACATCCAGTTGTCACAATGAGAAAGTTCTAAGAAAGATTTCGATTATAAATGGAAATAAATTAGATTATATAATTATAAAAAAATGAATAATTTATAGAGTTCAAAGACATTAGATAATTATTATTAGCAGTTAAACACCAAAATCACCAAATACACAAAAGATTAAAGATTAGTAAAACTAAAACTGCTCACTGGAAATCAGTGATGTATATTTGGTTGCCTAAATCTGAACACAAAAGTCAAAATTACAACAACCTCTTGGCCAGATGTTTTAAAAATGGTTACTGTTCCACAATCCGGAAATATAGTGCTTTAAAGGATGTAATTTTATAATTCGTCGCTATTAATATTGATTTTTTAACGCACCCAAACAGTAAATTTTAGCTAAATTGATTGAAAATTATCCATTTTCTAATATACATGATATATTTTACATTTGCATTAAATTAGTAAGTACCTATTCATTAGAAATCAAAATATAAGAATGTAGACTTTATACTACATAATATATAAGCTAGATAATGATTAAAAAATAAAATTTTACTTTAATTTACTCACTTTTGATTTATTGAACGTTCGTGACGAGCGACGTTCTAACACAATGCAAAATAGGTATTTTATCTACAATACCTTCATTCCAGATAAACAATTAAGTGATAAAAGTTATATCCATTTCAGCTTTCACCAAATGTAAATAGCTTTATCTCGTTATTTTTGCGTGAGTATATAATTTTTTTAAATTAATTTACGAATAGAAAATCTATTTAATTTAATAAACGATGATAGTCTGCATTTTAACGTTATACAAGGGACATCTAAAAGTAATTTGGTACACCTCTTTATGAGAAATCACAAGGTTTTAAAAAATATAATTTAACTTCGCCTGTAGGATTTGATGGGTGAAACCGTAGACACGTGTTTCTGACTATTGGTCTTCATCAGTACGGTGTGGCCAAGTTCAAAAGAGAATGGAACTAGCGATGAAATCAAATCAACAGGAGATCACTCAAGAAGCCAACCACACATTTGTGGACTTTGCTAACATTCCCTGTGCTTACTAGGAAAATATTAGCGTCGCCACGGAGGCAGTTATAGCCGCTATGGAGATGCATCCAAGCCCAGGGAAACTAACCAATAGAAGAAGGTTTAGTGCGGTGAAAAAATATAAAAGATAAAAGGGTTATTGGGCAAATACCGCAAAAAAAATGCCTAAAGGCAAACCGTATAAAATATGCACATGTACCGTGCATTTCTTGTGGGGAATCTATTGAATAGGCGTGGAATTAATAATATTTAAGTTATTCTAGTAATATATTCCTATTTACGTGGACAATCCATCTTGCTTCTTAAATATGAAAAACGTATCAAATTTTATTAAGCTCATTTGTGTAATGTAGGCTCATATATTTTTTAAGAATAATTATTTTTTATTATGTCACATTTCACCTTTTAAACTATTTTAACCCTTGCTTGACTAGTACCAATGTTTTTTTAAAATGTTCAGTTCGTTCGCTTTCTTTACTAAAATTGTAATTTGTAGTTTATTCTTTAGTGAATAAGAAATTATGGCGTGCCAAAAGATGAAGTGATACACTTCGAAATCGGTCGCAGTATAAAAATACAAATCTTTGTGATATCTAAAGGACCTTTTTTCTTTTCCTACCTTTTAATAAGTATTAACTCTTAAACTACTTTACTTTTAAAACGTAAAAACAAACCTACGTTTTTAGAAAAACGTGTCCCAAGGTACAACCTTTTGACAAAATGAATTTTGTAACATTAAAAAATAAATAATTTTTACAATAAATTGCAATTTCACCACTGTTACAGATGGACAGAAGTGCCACAGGAAGAAAGAGGACGAAACCAGTAGCAGAAAATGATGAGGCAGCTGTTAAGGATGTTATCAAAACAAACAGTCTGTGCGAGAAGTGGCGAGAATATATGGTTTATCAAAAAGCACTCTTACCAGGTATATAAAAAAATACAATTTGTATGGTCAAACTGATTTCAAATACGAAGCCAACAATGCGACGCAAAAGGTCTTCACCGTGTAATATGTTGACGTTACTTTACAATAAAATGTTAATTTCAAAACATAAGAAATTTTGACTAGCTCATAGAAATTTAACACCAAACATTACTTACCTTTAATCAAATTAAAAAGAAATGAGGACATTAACCATATAGTTTTCTCAGTCGTGAATTCGGATTTTCTAATAGACACCTTTAGGGATAATAGTTTTCTGGGAGAGTGGGGCGCCAATTATTCTCTTTTTTTATTTTTAGGAAGCTAGTGAGAATTATAAACTCTAGCTTTATCAAAAGGAAATTAATTAAAACTTATATAAAATTTAGGCAAAAGAGAATTGTTGTAACCTTTAAAAAAATAAGATTCAACATATATATTTATAAAAATGAATTAGTTTATTCAGTAAAAAATGAAAATGTTCAGGAACAAATAAATATTAAATTTAAGCTGGTAAATTAACTTTTATATCTCCAATGATAAAATTAGCCACTATTAAAAGATCTATTGTGCCCCCTTCTGTCGCCAATAGTTACCACTATTTGGTTTTGGGTGGCAACTTCCTTAGGATGCAGTCGAACTATAATTCTGCTACTCGGGAACGAACACCAAATCTCGTATTTTCCATAGCTCTGCTACTCGGGAACGAACACCAAATCTCGTATTTTCTAGAATTCATTCTGCTACTCGAGCACGAACACCATATCTCGTTCTTTCTTGTTCTAGTTCTAACTTTTAACTTTTTTTAGCTGCTCTTATTCGTTTTCTAAACAAAAAATAAATTCTGTTTTTTCACGTGGCTCTTGTATGAGATATAAATTAAATTTGAAACATCTGCTTTTTTTTAAAATTAAATCAAGATACAATAAAAACTAATTACTATAAACACTGTGCAATTCCAGAAACCAAAATGAATTATAAAAACATATTTAGAAAAATTTAACTTTACTTTCAAAAAAATAAACTTATGACTAACAACAGGTTGAAATATTATTTCTACCGAGATATTTTACCACGACATTATACTTTTTTTTTACTCGCCACTTGTACAGCCAAACACTAGCAGATACTAGGAGATAATATCGATAAATGACATTTTAAAATCTAATGGCCAAATCGTTTGCTTTACTGTACTCCCACTTCACGAAATTTCCCTTTCTTAGGAATATTGCGTGCGGCGATAATTGAATTTAAATTAATCGAATACTATTTTTACAAGATGTCACACACAAAATAACATTATTAACTGGAATTTTAAAATGTTACTACCGTTGAGCAAGAAGAAGAAGAAGAACTTCTCTAATATATTTAAAACGTTGCACAATGGAACTTTGGTTTGACCGTGGACGAAATTAAGAAATTAGCTTTCCAATATGCCGAAGCAAACAAAGTCAAATATCCAAAAAAATGGAAAGAACGTGGATACGCAGGAAGACAGTGGTACCGAACTTTTCGTAATTCATATAAAAACAGAATATCTCTTCGAAAACCGGAGTTTACTAGCCTAGGTCGAATGGCATCTTTCAACAAACCAAATGTTGAAATATTTTTTGGGAAGTTCCAAGAAATCTATGAAAGGTACTCCCTTTAACCTTAAAACGTGTGGAACCTTGACGAAACGGGTTGCTCTACGGTTCACACGCCGTCACGTGTGCTAGGTAACATAAAGGCGAAACAAATTGGAGCAACTACCTCTGTAGAACGTGGAACAAATGTAACGGTGATAGCTTGAGTCAATGCTGCTGGAACATTTATTCTCCCAGCCATCATATTTCCTCGTGTTCATTACAAAGAATACATGATTAACAATGCACCACCCAGTACCCTTGGTATGGCAACTTCTAGTGGTTGGTCCAATGCAGAACTATTTGTGAAGTAGTTGAAACACTTTATCTCTATGGCAATGAAGTGTTTCTTATTATGGACAACCACGAAAATCACCTTTCATTGGAAGCGATAAATTTGGCGAAAGAAAACGTCATCGTTTTCCTCACGTTTCCCTCCCACGCTAGCCATAAACTCCAGCTTGGACCGGTCTATCTTTGGGCCTCTCAATGCCTTTTATAACAAAGCTGCAAAGGACTCGATAATCAACCATCCCGGAAAGCCTATTTATATTTACGACGTCTCCGTATTGTTTTGGAAAAGCATTCCCTCTGGCATTCACGCCAAATAACATCACCGCGGGATTCAGGGCTGCTGGTATCTGGCCCTTTAATGCAGAAGTGTTCGGAGACGATGATTTTTTACCTGCTGAAATGACAAACAAATCATACCCTGCTGCAGAAGCAGCAGCAGCTGAAGTCCAACTGCCGGATGAAAGTGAGGAGAGGCAAAATAACAGAGAACAATCAAGAGAGACACCTTCGACAAGCAGTGCATTGAAACCATCTATAGCTGTTACTCCGGAACAAATTCGTCCATTTCCCAGAGTACCATCAAGAAAATCTTGTGGTAGAGGGCGAAAACCTGGGAGGTGTATGATTCTCACTGACACGACAGAGAAGCAGATAATTGAAGAGGAAAAGGGTAAGAACGGCAAGTTATACCCAAAGAGAGAAGCTGCTAAAAGCGCTGTAGAATTTTCATCATCCTCATCTGATGGAGAATTACCTGACCTTGGCGGTAGTTCTGAAGATGAGGATTCCTCTAATTTCTTTCCAACTAACGAAGATCAGCTGATTTTTCTCCAAAGGCAGCTGGGTTCTAGTTAAATTCCAAATCGACGGTGAAACTAAAGGAGATGTTTACTACATTGGATTAGTAGTAGAACAAGACAAATCTGGACCAGATGTGATCATAAAGTTTCTCAGGAAGCAAAGAACTCATTTTGTATTCCCTAGCGTTGACATCAGCAGTGTTAATCTGTGCAATATAGTGAAAGTATTGCCTACTCCAACAATATGTCGTGGATTTCATTTCTTTAACATTTCATTCCCACAGGATCTTAATTTGAAATAAATTGTATTCAGTATGAATTATGTTTAACATATTTTTATAATAAAAAACAAATACATACTTACAATATTTAACGTGAATCAATAAAATCGTGTCAATTAAAGCTTATTCAATATTAGCATTTTATCGCGAATCATTGTTACGCCGCTGCATAGGAGGATTATGGGTAATTCTAGAAATACATTGTTGCCGGCCGACCATAATTCTTCGATGAGTCACCATCATTTTAAAATTGTAATAGTGTAGACGATCACTACTACTACTAGAGGAAAAAGGCCAAATACTGTAAGTATAGAATTTAAAGTAAAACAAAATTGAGAAGTAAATAATAAAATTTCAGAATTAAACAAAAATCAAAGGGGTGGGTATGGGAGTGGGCGGTTACAAGAGCAATATTAAATTAAACATTTTTATAGAATCGCTAATCTTGTAATAACAAAGTTCTTTTTTTGGAAAGGAGACTATACTTGGGCTAGATGCGGTTCTGTACATATATAACTATTAAGTAATTAATGAACTATAACCGCACGCTGATACAGAATAAGAATCCGGAGGCTGTGTCTGCCGGTGCAGGCATCCACGCACCACACACGATTTTAGTTAACATGATCAGCGAGCAAAGTAAAAGCTTGTCTCTTTTAAGCATGTAACTTGTAACTGGCTACGCTGCGGCTGCCAGTCTACTTAGCTAACTATGTCTGTAACCACGTGTATCATAACACTCCTCTTTCTAAATGTATATACACTTGCACATGTTCAAACAAACGAAGCAAATGTTACCGAAACTAGTGTTCAATTGTACGAAAAAGGTGTTGAAGCTTATTTAGAAAATAGGTGGGCAGATTGTGTGGTTTATTTTGAAAAAGCGCTCGGCAAATATCGCAAATATAGGAAAAAAGTTCAAAGTTGCAGATTAAAGTGTAAAAATGAAGCGGAATTTTCTGAGCCCCTATACCCCGTAGATAATGATAATTTGTTATTTTTTGAAAGAGCCATAAGACAAACTTTATGTATAATGGAATGCGAGAATGATGATCCAGAAATTTTGGAGAACTACATTGTTAATATGGAAACCGGTAATTTATTTGAAGAACAGAGACCCTACGAATATTTACACATCTGTTATTTTCAGGTAAGCATCATCTGTTTAATTTGTTATTCTCAAAAAACTAACAGTACTATTAATACCTTATAGATATACCTTCTTATTTTCTCTAAAAATGTACAGTACAATAATAAAAATGTTTGTTCACTTTAAATAAATTCTTAAATTTGACCCACAAATTATTAATCATCAAACATTAAATTGATAAATTAAGAGCAACAATCTTCAAACATGATAACTATTTACTGATTAAAAGTTATTATTGCTTCAGAGGCCGGGAAAATATTGAAAAAAATTATTTGTTAAACAGCGTATATTTTATTCTTTTATTTTAAATGATTGTACGAAAAAAAATTGAAAAGTTAGTCGAAAAACGATATAAAATACTAAAACGCTGAAAGAGGTTTTTATTTTATATTTTTAGGAACCCTTATTCATCTAGGTGGTGAGTAAGAAACAAGAAAATTAATTCGTTGATACCAGGGGACATAATACATTTTTTTCCTAAGTTGAAAAAAATGTGTAAAAAAATATAGACATTAATTGGTATCCCTTTTATCTGCATTAGCAAATAACGATTTTTTAATATTCACCTATTTCTGGTCTTTTGTTAGGTAAAATCGGAAGAATTTAAAAGCTCGTTTAGCAATCAGATAGTCAAAGTTTATTAGAAACGCACCATTATTGTTAGATAGTAATAACCATTTGTTCCATTCTTCATTTTTTAGTAGGTACAATGAACTATAGAATATAATATTTATATTTGTTGTCTTGTAGACGCATACAACTGATCTTTTTTCATAATTAGATGAAAGATAAATTCAACGTAATTATGATATAAACGTATATTGTAATTAATGTGTAATTTATGAAAGTAAAGACCTTTTTAAATATTAGTATTAATAATTTCTACTGGGCTCTGTTCTAGAGGGACCTGTACTTTTTCTCTTGTACGTTAACCAAATGATATACAAAAATACCATTATTACTTATGAGAATGATTTTTACATAATTAATACCAGACATTGCGCATTATAATTTGTCCTATTAATTATTAAATTCAGCCCTAAAATCCTTATGTAATGTTTATCTATTTTAAACAATTTAGTATTTAATTTATTTTCACTAAATACAATAATATATTTTAAAATTTAATTTATTTAAGACTTAAACACTTGAACTGACTATAACACCAAACGTTTATATAGGGATACATGGAATTTTAGATACATTTAATTTGAATATACACTTGTTAAGAATGGGACACAGAACAACTGAAGATTCTATGATTAGAAATAAGAAGATTGGCGAAACATGCTTAAATAAAATACTAATCCATTCCGAAATACGAAGGTGTTAAAGTTGAAAATTCGAAAATTATTATAATGGCTATAATTTTTTTATTATTCAGTATCATTTTACTAAATTCGGCAAACATTTTTTGTGTTATAAGATACACCTATCAGCATAAAAATCAGTTAAATAAATTTTGTGTGGGTTACTGCATGGGTAAGAAACACTTAATCCCGTCTTATAATTTTACGCCACTGTCCAAAAACTTATTTAGACTATGCCTACTTTTAAATTTTTTAATATTTTTTGAATAAATCATGTATTTTTCTTGGGAACTCATAAAGTGATCGATTTTCAAGATATTCACACTCAAATGTGGATATTTTTCATTTAAAATTTCAAAAGTTCCAAACTAAAGTACATAATTTATTTAAAAAACATCAAAAAATTCAAAAATATAGTACAAATAGGTTTCAATGTAGAAGCGATGTACTTATCCATGCCGTACGCCACTGGCAAAGTTTATTCAATTTATTTTTTTGTTGATATGTGTATCTTATGATACTAAAAACGTTTGCTCAGTATAATTTTATAAAAAAATCAAAATTACAAAATTAAAAACTAAATTAAAATGAAGAATATCCATCTTAAAAAATGTAAAAGTATAGTCCAAATAAGTTTTTGGACAGTGGTGTAAAATTTAGATGGAATTTAACTGATTGTGTTGATAGGTATATCGTATGATAACAAAAATAACCGAATTTAGTAAAATTATACCTAGAATTAAAAAAAAATTATAGCCATTAATACTGTACCCACCCCCTTGTACCCCATTTTTATCGTCGTTTTACTCTCTGAGATGTTATTATTTACCTCACAAGTTTATTTTACTTTAAATCCTATACTTACTGTATTTGGCCTGTTTCCTCAAGTAGTAGAAGTGGTGGTCTAGTTAATTAATTGATAATTTATATACCCCACGTTGTGATAATGTTAATTAAGGTAAACCAGGATTCGATGCAAAGTTTGGTGTAAATTGATAAATAAAATATGCAAATTCATATTTAAACTATTTTATTTTTCATACTTTAAATGTAATGCAATAATTAGCAAAGTATATTACAATTGGTACTATTTACTGAGATCTCACTTGAGTCCCGTTCAAACGCAGACCACGTTCATTTGCTATCAAGATATATTTTATTTAGGTTGATTACCAACGGAGTTAACGAACAGCGTCAACTCGCCAGTTGGTTAACTACTGTGTTGATGTTTAAATTCTTATTTAGGTTGATGACCAACGGAGTTAACGAACAGCGCCAATTCGCCAGTTGGTTAACTAATGTGTTGATGTTGATTTCATTCTATTCTAGATATACATAGGTTGCACCCTCTTAGGTAAATATTTCGACGAGTATAGAGGTAATGACCAACGGAAGTAACGAACAGCGCCAATTCGCCAGTTGGTTACCTTACTATGTTGATTTCGCATATACTTTATTTCAAACCTTGTAGAATGGGTGCCTTAGCATATGGGTCCCCCCCTAAGCTAACGAACAGTGTATTCACCAGTTGGTTAACTTACTGTTAAATTTTACCATCTCTGGTTTGTACAATTTATCCAAGATAGCACATCCCTGAATATTCCTAAAATATTGATTTTTATAATTTCTATTGAAATGACTTAATACAACCCTATATATTTTTTAATATTGATTATTAAAATTTCTATTGAAATTATTTAATACAACCCTGTATATTTCTTAATATTGATTTTTATAATTTCTATTGAAATACTCAAAAATTAACCCATCCAAACCACATGTCTATCCTAACTGTCTTTCGGTGTGTTTTATTTTTATAATTTCTATTGAACTAACTTAAATTCACCCGAAAAATAGATGGATAACCTAAAGGTACCATTTGGGAACGCGCGACCCGCGACAGGAGACCGAGACACCAGTGGAGCGGCAAATATTACCATACTAAATCTGATTTCGTCTGTCGCCTCTACCGAAATGTGTTTCTTATAATTACATAGGTTCAGACGTGAAGCGACCGTTTAGTGTTGCGGCGCGTTTTGAAGTCGGTCTCTGTCTCGGCTTGCGAAATGGTAGCTTAACTGTCTTTCGGGGTGAACGACTGAAGGCCATATGGTTTATTGGTTACATTGATAATATTTTGAAAATGTCAAGCCCTCGCCTAAACAAAACCCCGGTGGTATCTCAAAGAAAGTTACATAAATATTTTGACCCACCATTGAAAATACAGACATTAGATTATGTACTAATTCCATCTAGCGTTGTGACGGCGTCGATTTAGGTACCTCGCAGCGTTGAGCGTCGAGGCGCCTAGCGTCGTGGTGGAGAGGAAGGTATTTAATACGGTACTGCATTGGGACAGATATACGATATTATGAAGGAAATATTTAGGGGTGGAGGCAAGCGTCGAGAAATAGAGCGTCGGAATGAATGTAAGGTAGGAAATACTTAGATGTTGCGGAATGTGACAGCGTTCGAGACGTAGAAAGGTAGGGAAGTAGGGCGTATGGACGTTGAGCGTCGGGATGAATATTATGGTAGGAAATACTAAAGTGATAGCGTAGAAAGGTAGGGAAGTAGGACGGCGGGACGTTCGGCGTCGAGACGTTGACATCTTAGGGATAGATGTCGTTTAGGAAGCGCGTTTTAGGAAAGGTACAAACTATATAACTGGATACAGATAATAAACTGATTGCTTGAATGTAAAATAATAAAATGAATTCTTACACATCAAATAATAAAAAATTAATGCCTGCACATCAAATAATAAAAAATTAATGAATCCGAGCTCATTTGGGTCTGGCTTCTTATAGCAATTTTGATAGCTTTTTGCGACGTCTCTGTGTGTCTTAGTTCCCAGCGAAAAACGAATTAGGGCGGAAAATTTATTATGCGCCTTGAGAGCTTTGTTTATCGAAATATTGTCGAAATCGGTCTTAAATATCGTAACTAGAAAGACAAGCGAGTTAAGTGTTTTAATGATGATTACTTCGTGAAAAGAAATATGTTTTATGGTGGTTTCAGGTCGGTTTCCCAGACACTTGTACGAAATTTGAATCTTTTACGGACGTGGTTATATATATTATTTATTAGGTGTCGTAAATAAGATTTAATTATCTGGGAGATTTTTCGTCAACTGAAGGATTTTTAATTTAATAAGAATGCACTATTATATTTAATAAATGGAATTAATAAATTATTAAGGTACCTGGGTGCGGTAGATTACAATACTTTTTGAATTTTAAACTTTAACACCCTGCATTTCGGAAACCAGTTATATTTTATCTAAACATGTTTCGTATAATCGTCTTATTTTTAATCATAGAATTTTCAGTTGTTCTGTGTTCCATTCTTAATGAGACACTCTGTATATTTATATAAACTTGTGTTGTTCTCGCATGTACCAGAACTTGCTACGAAAATTCTAGACGTCGGCGGACTCGCCATTTTATAGACTGGTGCTTCCGGTAAATTTTAATTCAGATCAGCGTATTCACCAAATTCTAGAGAAGTCAACGGTTCACGACGATTGACCACTAGCCATAGTCGTCCCTATACAAGGGTTTTAGAGGTGACTGTTTTAATCGAATATTTTTGGTAATGGTAAAAGTGGAGGACGTAAGAGGCCGAAATAAGGTAGAGAGGGATTAGAGTATTACCGGACTGGTCGAAAATAGCTTGCACGACACTTATTTCAAATAGATATTTTTGACATTATTTGTCAACATATTTATGATTTGCATATTCGCCAACCGTAATATTTATACTTTGTAACTATAGGAATAAATCAGTAACAACAAATAAATAGTTTAATGAAAATTGTTTCTTTTTGCAATAACTTTTTCTAATATTATAGTTAATTGTTTAAATAATCTTACATTTCTTTCTATAGAGATTTATAAATGCATCATGTATGTAAAAAATGTAATTACCAGCAGAATATGCGACAAGATCGCGTGTTTTATTTGACCGTCGAAACATATCATTTGAAAAAAGTCCAGACTTCTTCTTTTTTAGTTTTGTATGGGCTCAATCCTTGCGGATTATTTGCCCAAAGTCCAGACTTCAAAGGAATTAAACTTTTAAATCATCTACCTGAGCACATAAGATCCGAATTGAACTTAAATATTTTGAAAAATAAGTTAAAACATTTTTTAGTAAGTAAATATTTTTATGACATATCTGAATTTTTACCAAAAAAAGTTTAAATTATGAAATTTACACCTTATGTTGTTGCTCTTTTGTTATTTTGTAAATATTAGTTTGACCTGCCCTATATCATAATTGTATGATCAAAAAGGATTAATATATTAACATTTATTTATGCTTCCAAACGTCGAGAACAATGATAAAATCCCTTTACGGACATTTTCTGTCCATCAGTTTTGCCACTTCCGGGAGTAGGGATTCAGACCACGTGATATTTCTTTCTTTTTCAACAAAATTTGCGAGCCTAAATGCTATTTTCTTGAACCTAGCGGGCATTTTTTGAGTCAGCGGAAGGGTTAATATATTTGTAACCTGCCTTTGTTTAATTGCTCTCAAAATGTTAGTATGACTCTCAACCAATTGTATAGCCTTTGCGGGTATTTTTATTCAGTAGTTTCACCCCATTTGGCTTTTTATCCACTCCGCGTTTCGGAAAAAATAGTCTAATTTATGGCGAATGTGGTAAAATTACTGAATAAAAAAATGCCCGCAAGGGCAATACTCTTTTGGTTTCGATTTTACACCTATTTCAAAAAACAAGCTACTATCGACAGCTTACAAAATCGTTTTTTCATATCACGCTTTTCGCCGACACGTAAGAAAAGGTCCACAATAACATCTTAGGTTCAGAAAAATTGTGTTTAACCTATATCCCGAATTTCGTACAAAAGTGTACATATCCGGAATTCCTACACCGCAAGTAACAAAACCGCACGATAGAAGTTGACCGCAAAGGTATTTTTTATTGTTTTCGACGTCTGGTAGCATTTCATTGCGAGAAAAGGAAAAATCCCAGTGAGCAACTCTTTGAATTGCACAGGTAACATAACCGCTCCCACCGTCGTGACATAGTACAACTTATTCGCCGAACTACAAAGAGCTAGCAAAAAACCGACGTGCCACTTTTTGCAGTCATCTGAGGGACGATAACCCTACTTGGTTATAAATGACAAACTAAAGATTTTGTATATTTACACGGATATCCCCGCTTTTTACAGTTATTATAATTTGCAAAGGTTTATGTTTATGTGTTGCGTTGTTAGTTTTAATATGGATATGATTATTTATGTTGAATGAAGTCGTAAAGCAAAAGTACTTTCACAGATGTTCCTCCCAGTCGTTATTTTTGGACGTTTTGTAATATCTATCAATAATTTCAGTTTCTTAGAAGCAGGTTATGACGTGCCGTATCCAGGCCATTATTATGGTAAATGGTATTTTTAGTTTTTGATGTTTGCTTGTACCAGGAATAAGAAATAAATGAGATTTCTTAATTACAAAATATTCTTAAGACAAAAATAAACACCCTAACGTTTTTATTAAGAAACAAAACGTTACTTTTCGTTAAAATATATTTTTTATAACTATTTTGCATTAAGGAAAATCAATATAAAATTGTTACATTTTAACATCAAAATTCACTGATGATTTATTTTAAATTACTAATAATATTTGTTAATATTGTAACGCACTATGAAATAAGATTATTTTAATCAATGCTGAGATTTGATTCGTTGTGCAGACATAAAAAGTTTATTACAGTTTCAGTTCAAAACAACTAGCTATAATATTTTTAGACTCTGCTGTAATTTCTTTCTTCGATAACGTCGCATTGGTGTTATTTTACTATTTACTATAATTTGCTTTGTACGTTGTTTGACGAAATAATAATAACAAATGTAAGATATTTTACAAGTACAAATCTATAAAACGCAACATTAAATTTTATTAACTTCGTTTAATGGATAACAAACATTCAATACTTCACGATATTTAGAAAACCATATTGATGAATGAAAAAATACAAAACATTACTACACGAGGGTTACACCGAAAATTTAGTTTGAATAGAACGAACGATTTAAAAATTAAATTTTCGTTCGCTTGTTCTTGATATAATTATTACATTGTAGTGTCCTTGAAACATACTCCCAATTTTAATAATTGTTTACTCGATTTAATCTTTAGTAGATCTGACATCGCTGTAAATCGTTCACTTGATTCATTAGTTGACGAATATATTTTACATCCTTCATTAGAATTTCGGTTGTCTTTTTCTCTAATAAATACCAGTTTTGCTATGTCTAGTAAATTATTGTAATGTTTGGCGGAGGAGCATTGTGGAATCCACCAGAATTTTAAATTTGTATGTAAATAATGATGGATGAACAACACGGAGAAGTCAGTCGTATACAAACAGCTGTGAAAATAAATAGTGAACAATTTAGAGACTTCGAAATATATATAAAATAGAATAGTCGTATTATAAAATAAATAAGTGTTTAAATAAATTATTTACAAATAAAAAATAAACAAACATCACATTATCTTATAATTTCAAAAAGGCAAATTTTCCTCTACCAGAGTATCTGTAGAATTAATTGGAATGCATGCGCAACTTCTGAGGAGACTTGTGATTTGTTTTATTGGGGTCCATTCTGTAACAATTCCTTTATATTTAACGGTCTTTAAAAATATTTTCTTCTTTACTTCTGTCATTATTTAAACGAATCTTTAAAATACATTAGAGGACTATCTTAAAGAAATCTATTTAAATAATGACAGAAGTAAATTAACGAATACGAAAATGTTTTTAAAGACCGCCAATATTTTTAAAGGCCGTTAAATATAAAGGAATTGTTACAGAATAGACCCCATTCTATCTTAAATTCCGAAATTGCCGCTAATGTACCAAAAACTGCACCAAGGTGCAACTCAAAATACCCTCCTTGGTTTAATAGAAGTACAATATCGGATTTGAGGAAAAAATCATCTCTTTATCGTTTGTATAAAAGGACACTAGAGGCTGAAATTTATACCGAGTTTAGTATTTTTAGGACAAACATTAAACGCGATTTCAATAAATTACAAGAATTATTTGACAAATATTGAGAATAGAATATCTTCTAACACCAATTATTTTTGGCAGTATATAGATTCAAGGAAAACTGTAGTAGTATACCAAATGTTATGAGTTTTGCTAATAATCCTTTAAAGAATTCACACTTGACTTTTCTGTCACCATTCTAATTCTAATTCTAATTCTGAAGCGAAATATATTTTATTATTTCTAGAGATTTTATGAGTTAAATTGTAGCAGGACAAGAAGATATGAATTTACCAACTAACATAGTGTGTTGGTGAGGTTACCCATCCAAGTGCTAACCGCGGCCAACACAGTTTAACTGCGGTGATCGGACGAGAACCGGTCAACGCCTTGGAAATTATTTGTGATAATAGTATGTCTTGATCTCTTTCTTTAGTATGGGGTAATAATTTGGCGGCCTCCTCTCTCTCTTCTTATCATTCATTCTTCCTTTGTACTGGTTTTAAGTAAAATGATACTGATATTCCTTTAACTCAACTTAAGACCTCTCGGTCTTGATTAATATTTTTCCAAGCATGTAAGAAACCTAAAAGGCACCAATCTCTTGTGTTGGGTTGCAATGTTCTCAAAATTCCTCCAATTTAAAATGAGGGACATGAACAGACATGTCATGGTAAATATTGCTAAATAATTGCCAAAATTTTGAGATTATTTAAATATTCCACAAAACCAGAAGAATCATTAAGAATCCCTCGACTTCCTAATAATATATTTTTTACAACGTCTATATTCTGCTTACTTCAAACAGTAGGATCATTAAAAAAGATAATAATTTTTTGTCTTAATAAAATCGCGAATCGCTTGATTGCTTCTAAGTACCGTCCAGAACTTTAAGAGGAAAACCCTCCTGCATATTATTTTTGTATCCAAACACTGAAAAAGTAAGTATTCAGAAAGTATAACAAAGTTCATCCCTGTATAAATCCAAAAAAACAGAAAAATCATCAAGATTCGCTCGACTTCCTAATGATTTATATTTATGAAAAAATAGCGAACGTCTATTCTGCTGAATTCAATAAAAGACAAAGTTAAATGAGTATTTCCGTATTTGGTCTCAATGAAATCGCTCGATTTCCTTTTAGCAAATACCGCCCGGTATTTTAAAAGATATTGTTTTTATATAGAATTCCTGAAAAAATCGTCCGATTGAGTATACATTTTTGGCCAATGTTGAAATTTGGTGAGACTCTTTTGACTACTTTTAGCTTTTCTGGTTTTTTCGAGAATAAAGTACTGTGTTCCTCTTAAGAGAACTATTAAAATCGTTTATTACTAATATTGTTCTTTGTATTAATTTCAAAGTTACATATGCCAAATAACTAATATTTATTAAATTAATATTGATTGTCTTTGCATTAATTTTAGACTAATGATATAATCAAGGCTGCATCATCAGCGTTTACATATCTGGTTGCACATCCTGATAACAAAGTCATGGCCAGTAATCTGAAACACTACTTCGACCACAACATAGATAAGAAAGACATTGTAAATTACGAAGCCAAAGTAAGTTGATACATCTTGACCATTTCTAGTAAATAAGCAAATAACATTCAATATTTTAGGATTATGTATACTTATATGTTCATGGAGCTGAATCATATGAGCACAAAGATTGGCAATCTGTCATATTTAATATGGAAGAAAGTTTGACGGAATATATACAAGCAGAAGAAGAGTGCAGAGCGCAATGCGAAGGTCCTTTTGACCATGGATGGTATCCGGATTTCATACCATCAATTTCAAGTGAGCATCTACCTATGGAAAATTAAATTTAACACTTTTTTATCACTCAAAAAATCTAGAATATTGATCAAACACTAAAACTTAAATTTGAAATTGATTTAATATAAATTAGTTTTCATATTTTATTTCAGATCACTTTACAGTGTGTTTGAAGTGCAAACAGAAATGTAGGAAAACCTTAGGCTCACTAAATGGAGAAATCCACGATGATCTTCTTCCTAGTCATTATCATTATTTACAATATGCTTATTATAAAAGTAAGTACTGCCTTTTTCCTACAGTTAACATTCTAGAAAAATTAGATCTGATATATTTTTTTCTACACTCACATAGACATTATCTATTCTACACACAGACTACAGAACCAAAAAGTATGCCATTGCGTTCTACTGTACGGATATGAAATTTGGTGTTTGGTATTTTTTTTTTTTATTTTAAATAAGTGATAATTCTGTCAAACTATCTGTATATTTTTTAGTTTTTGAGATTAATATATCAATTTTGTGACAGTGTTACTGTTTAAAACAATAATCAATATGCAACCCTCTGTCATGATTTTCTCAATAAATAGCTATAGATCTTATACAAAGAGAAATATTAAATTAATTGGGTTTACATATTTAGGTCTTTATGATTTGATCCGAGCTTTTTTTTAATATCAGTAACAAAAATCTATAGATAGTTCTGTCTAGAGTGATATCCCTGATATTTGAAAAATACTTATTTTTTTACCCATATATTTCTGATAACCGATAACTGCAAACTAAGAAAAACTTTCCTACTAAAATTTCTGTACATTTACATATAACAACTATACAAGGATTTTTCTTAGTTTAACCTCCAAAATACCTGTAAAAATTATGCGGATGTTATTATCCTTAATTAACATCTTGTAAATATGAACCATTTATCACCATACCTGCATTAAATATGTTTAAATCGATAGGCATTTCTTACTAAAGTTACGTTAAGAAATATTTTATTAAACTTAGATTGTATGATGCGTCAATTATAAAAGTATTTAAAATATGTCGTTCAGACCACCAGACCACGATGTTCAGACATACAAATATTTGGTCCATCTCAATTGGCCTGGTGTAACTTTACTTTGCCCTGATTAAACTTGCATCGAGCTTTTTGTTAAACCTTATGGACATTTCTTTGACCATGCAGGACCTAATTAAACATGTATGTAGGTATTTTGCGTTTTTGTTGTTTGTTTTAAATCCAATTTTCAAGGTCATGCATGCAATCCTTAAAATAATGATAAATATTTTATTTTCAATTAGATTTGGATTTAGGCTCCATCTTCAGTTATAACGGGTCGGTGGTGTAGCGGTCTATCGCGCTTATATTCATTTATAAGCAAGTTTATGTGTCAGAGACTGCTGGGCTTCGAATCCAAGAACAGACCATGTGGATTTTTAATTAAATTCCATGGTTCGGTATAGGATTTGATGTGTGTCGTATTAATAGAAATTCAGTTTCTGTTGATATGACATGCAGATTAAAAAAAAATCGCCGTACATTACCGTCTCGATGATGGTGGGTGAGGTTTTCCGGGTTTTCCTCACCTGTAAGTCAAATGGCACCATCAATCATCCTTAAGTCGCCCCGGAGCGCCACGGCAAATAATAATAATAATAATAATAATAGCCATCCCTTCCCCTACACAAGTCGTTCAGTCGACTTCAGGGGTTGAAATTCACTCGTAAGGGGGTGAATTAGGGAGAGTATTATAATAATAATAATAATAATAATAATAATAATAATAATAATAATAATAATAATAATAATAATAATAATAATAATAATAATAATAATAATAATAATAATAATAATAATTAATAATAATAATAATAATAATAATAATAATAATAATAATAATAATAATAATAATAATAATAATAATAATAATAATAATAATAATAATAATAATAATAATAATAATAATAATAATAATAATAATAATAATAATAATAATAATAATAATAATAATAATAATAATAATAATAATAATAATAATAATAATAATAATAATAATAATAATAATAATAATAATAATAATAATTAATAATAATAATAATAATAATAATAATAATAATAATAATAATAATAATAATAATAATAATAATAATAATAATAATAATAATAATAATAATAATAATAAATCACCATCATCGAGACGATAATGTATGGCGATTTTATAATCTGCATGTCATATCAATAGAAATTGAATTTCTATTAACACGGCACACATCAAATCCTAAACCGAACCATGCAATTTAATTAAAAATCCACATGGTCTGGTCTGGGATTCGAAACCCAGCAGTCTCGGACTCATAAACTTGCCTATAAATGAATATAAGCGCGTTAGACCGCTACACCATCGACCCGATATTATTATTATATATCCGCACTTCTAATACCCCTCATGCATCTTTGTTTTGTAAATTTTTATTTTAGTTGCCTGTATAAAGAGTTTTAAAGATAACATTAAATCGCCATGGTTTTCTCCGTAAAGCAGGTTGAAAATTCGATATTACTTTTCAATGTATTTGTTAGTTGTTTCCATAGATTTGCATCTTAGACAATTAACAATCTTGGAGCGTTGCAAATTTGCATTAGGAAGTTATTTAAATTACTCTGTACAATTTGCAATACTTTTCAAATTTTTTTGCGCCTGCAAAAAGTACGAATTATTGATTTTTGTTAATTTTTCAAGGTTCCGGACCTTGCAAATCTACCAGCTTGTTAAGAAAAATAATAATAGCAATTATAACCAATTTTCAAAATTTTTGCATTTTTCTCGACGAAATTAGAGGAAAATAAACAATTATTTAAAATGTTCCGGAGTTCAGAAAAAGTTGCAAAATTAAATTTATAATTATATAATTTATATACTTTAATAAATATTCCAACAAAGTTTATGTATCATTATTATGTTTTTTAGCTGGAAATTTAAAGGCCGCTTGTCAGGCAGTTGCTAGTTATCTTAGGTTCTACCCTGATGATGAAACTATGTTGGATAATTTGAGATATTATTCGAAACAACCCAAAGTTCAAGAAGATTACTTCCATCCAAGAGAGGTAAAAAAACTTTTCTCTTGATCACAGCTTTGTTATTGTTGATATATTATTTTTAGGAAGCTGTGCGATATATGCAGAGACAAATTTACGAAAATAAAATCCTTAAATTTGTAAATAAAGAATTTAACACAACTTTGAAGAGCAAATTGAAATCTGAGGTAACAAGTTTGTCAATATAATTATCGCATTTGTTCATTGTTTGGTACTTCTAATTCTATTGCTATTATAATTTACTTTAATAAATACTTACTTTTTATTTTTTAATAAAACAATGTGAAAAAAAAACTAAATCTCTATGTTTGCTAATAAAAAAATATTGTGGGGTTTTATTATTAGCGAAATTTCCTTCTTTCTGAAATTTAATTTGTTGGAATTTTTTATATAGAAAGTTGGAAGTATTTTAATCAACTTACTTCTACCCGGCACAACGTTTTTTTAATTCATTGAATATCTTGGATATTTTTTCTTCTGATATCCTATAAAAATTTTCACTCATAAATACTTATTTAATTAGAATTATTTTTGTATGTGCTCTTTATGTTTTATGGGTTTGGGGTAGCATGTGGTTGTTGTTTTATTAACTTTAATAATTCAAGTTGCAGGATCACTCTTCTGAAACTGAAACTACTGCACCTTCTGCTCCTAATTCTTGATTTTTGCTTTTGGGAATATAATGTATATAGCTCTACTTATATTTTACGTTAACCAGTTAAGTGTTCTTTTATTTTTGTATTATTTTATACTTGTAAATACCAATTAATTATTTAATAAACTGTTTGTCATATATTTTGTATTTTTATCTCTTATCGTGCTTCTGCATTTGTTATAAAATTTTAAATAATCTTGTTACACATTTAATTTGAAAACATGGTGATTTAATGAACCAGATTATTTTAAGTTCATTGAACATTGAATACCACTATTTAATTGTGAAATTCTATAAAATATATATAATAAATCGCAACATTAATTTGTTTCGTTAATAAACTAAAATAAAATGAAAATAAGAATGTATTAGATGAACTACTCTCTTGCCTTAGGAACTAGAGAAGAAGCTTTACGTAACTATGAACGAAAAGGAGCTAAAAGGTTCAAAAAGAATAGTAATGGATGGATTAGCAACAACCAAAGAATGTCAAACTCTTACGGAAATAGCCAAATATTTTGCTATAATAGGAGATGGGTATGACGGACGAAGATCACCACATACTAAAATGGAGAAATTTGAGGGCATTACTTTAAGCAGGACGTTGTTCTTAACATATTTTAAACTGCTACGTCCCAAATACTTGGACATGTTTTTAAGGGTAACTGAAAACACCAGAAAATATATTAAGAAGTATTTTAAAATAAAGAAAAAATTATACTTTTCCTTTACACACCTCGTGTGTAGAACAGCTTTACCAGGTAACCATGTCTATATCATTCTGTAAAGTTATATATGGTGACCCATTAAGAATGGGACACAGAACAACTGAAGTTCCTCTAATTAAAAATAAGATGATTAAAAGAACCATGCCTAGATAAAATATTACTCGTTTCCTAAATAGTGGAAAAATAAAAAAATATTAATTTTTTTATTTCTCAGTATAATTTGACTAAATTCGGCAAATAGTTTTGGTGTCATCTACCCTTGTTGGAAACTTATGAAGTGATTGGTTTTCGAGATACTTGCACTCATGGGTGTGGATATTCTTTATATATAAATTTTATAATTTTGAATTTTCATTATAAATTCCTGACAATATAGTTCATGATTTATTTAAAAAAATCAATAATTTTTAGACGGCGTAAAATTTAGAAAGAATGAAAGTGTTACTTACCAATGCCGTACACTACTGGAAAAATTTATTTAACTTATTTTTTCCAACAATGTTGGTATTTAGTAAAATTATACTGAGTAATCAAAAATGTATAGCCATTTTTGAATTTTCAACTTTAACACCCTGTATTTCGGAAATGAGTAACATTTTAACCAACCATGGTTCGTCTTATTTTTAATCAGAGAATCTTTATCTTCTGTTGTTCTATGTCCAATTATTAATTGGACACACTGCACTTTAAAAATGTAGTTGATTTTAACAAAAAATATGTCTGATATATTTATTCTAGTTTTAACATTTATGTATAATTTGAATATTTTTTTAGATTCTCCAAAAATTCGAACGGACTTAAGTCATAAAATTCACGCTGATAACTGCAACATTTTGAAAAATCAAACATGCGTAAAGGCCTTTCCAGCATTTACTTGGAGAGACTATAGCGCTATATTGTACTTGAACGATGATTTTGAGGGCGGAGAATTTATATTTTCATCCGATCTTAATGGATTAAATATACAGGTAGAAATTTTATAAAATCACTCAATAAAATTATGCAATTTTACGGATATTATTTTTTAAATATAATTATAATTTGTAGAGTAGTGTAAAGCCAAGATGTGGAAGACTTGTAGCTTTTTCATCCGGACCTGAAAACCTGCATGGTGTAAAGGCTGTCAAAACAGGTTCCAGGTGTGCCATAGGGATTTGGTTTTCGCACGATCCAAAGTACGCGGATAAAGATAGAAATGTAGCACTACGCGTTTTGGAAAATAATTTGGATTTCCATTTGGATCCTTCTATTGATATAACTGGATTCAATTTTGACGTTAAAAATGACAAGAAACTGAAGACTTAGATTATTTTATACGGTCTATAAATTTGATAATGAAATAGGTAATATAATGATTGATAAAAGGTTTAGGACATTATTTGAACAATCTTTATAAAACAATTTAACTGCTAAACTATGTACGTATTTCATTATCGAATAGCATTTGCGTATTGTACACCTATGGTTTCGCATAAGTATTATCAAAAAAAGAAAGCTTTTTTAAAACTAATCTTTTACTAAGATTTGAATTAACATTCCATGTTGTGTTGAATTTCCTGCAAATCTAACTTTTTATCAAATTTAGAACTAAATGTATTATACCTAAGGATAGGATATAAGTACCTGCTTAAAAGTCTGATTTTTTATTATTTATCCATATAAAAATTTCTTGGTACTTAATATTATTAATAGGTATGAATTATTTATTTTGATTGTAAGAATTTATTTCTAAATGTATTTGTTTCGTTTGTTTTATCTAACACTAGTGATTTTAATGCTTAGAATTATTAATAAACAGATTAATAATTATTAACGGGTAAACTTTCCTTGGAGGTTAAGTATTGTACAAGAACTAAATGTTCTAGTCACTTTAATGTTATCGTTTTGAGGTTGATTTTTTACTTTGTAGTTAACACTGTTTGACTAATTATATTGTTCCTTTTTTTATATTTTTATAAAATATTTTACGTTTTTCATGTAGTTTAATTTCAATTCCCCACCTCTTTAAATACTGATACACAGGTGTTTAAAAACTGCCCAAGGGGAAACAACGAACAAATGTCCCAAAATTGAAGTTTTAGTTATATAATGAGCAGCAGTAAGAGTAAGTGGCCGAAGTAGGATTACCATATTCCAAAATACAATTTCCTGACATTCCTAATAAAAATTCGGGACATTTCTTTAAAAATCCGGACCAAATAATACTTCCAACTCATGAAATAATTACTAAACGTTTTATTAAAATAAGTACCTACTGTTAAAAACTAAAAACAAAAACAGTTCCTTAGTGAAAAATTCGTTAAATTAAATATAAAACATATAATACAAAAGGCATACACAAAGACAACTACACAAGACAACAACCGCCTATTAAATATTTACACAAATAATAAATTATGAAAAAATAAAAGTTAATTTCAACAGTTAAGCAGTGATCTCTCTGGTCATGTCGTGGATGAGTTACAGATGGGACGTTCCACCATGGGAATAAGTCGACTAGCGTTTAACCATCGACGTCGTGGGGTAAATGAGGGAGTGAATTGAAGAATGGGAAGTCAGTAGGACCTTCAAATGGTGGTACACTAAGTTGCAGGCTGCTGTGTCGCCACGCTACAGACTGATTAGGATGATAGTACGAGGGGTCCGAAGGGTGTAAAAATAAAAAAAGGTAAATGTGTAAATTGGAAAATATATTGAGATATATAGCAATATATAGAAAGTTAATGTTTTATATGGTAACTTTGATAATCCGATAAATGTGTTCCACGAGGCCTATGATTGTAATATATAACTTGTATGTATGTATGTAATGTATGTATGTATGTATGTATGTAAAAACAGTAAAATACCGCATCAGATGAATTGAGTCGTTCACCGCCAGAGTGGCCCAACTGCAAAATTTCACTATTTGTGGTATACTATGCAATGTGTGTATATTTGCCTAAATTTTAAAATTAGACTGGCCCAAATGAGCTTTCTCTACTTCTTAATATGGTGCAAATGAAACAGTTGAGCCAGAATCAGTTTGTGATACCATTTTAAAATCATAGTGGCCCAAACAATAGTTGGGCCACTATGATTTCCTAAAGCCTTAAAATCAGCTGTCGAAAAGTTTCCTGGGTTTATAATTTTGATCATTAAAATTCTTTACTTATTCAGTAAAATTTTAATTTCTTTTAGCAGATAAACAGGTGAGTGTTGTACCTCTCTTTTGTAACAGTCTTATGGTTGAATCTAAATGTAAAATATATTAAATAAAATAGAAATGTTTCCTAATTGTTTAATAAAAAACCTAACCAATTTACCTAACCTATGCAGCCTGGAGGCATCACAGGTTGCTTCCTAAAAAAAGTATACTTAAAATAATAAAAAAAACTAACATACCGAACTTGTGGAGAATAACGAGTCGGCCTTGGGTGTTTTCATAGAAATAGAACTAACCAACAGGAATGATCCACAGATGGTTAGTGGGTAGATACATAACAAGCTCTTAAACCAAGCAGTAAATACAAGTATAGAATATGTGAATATAAGAGGCTTGGTTGCGAGGGGATGTCCACAGGAAGGGAGGGGTGCTATCACCTCTACTGTGAAACATGGTCCTCGGACGCCCTCATCAGTCTCCCCAATAATGACAGTTACCACACAATATCGTATACAGATGACCTGGTTATTCTGCAAACAGGGAATTTTAAGAACATACTATGCTCTCAAAATTATAGAATAGTGGTGCAAGGACCATTCACTGTCTATCAATCCAAAGAAGGCAGAAATGGTACTTTTCACAAGGAAAAGGATAAAAATAAAATTAAAACCTCCAAAACTCCTAAACACAAAACTAAACTTTACAACAGAAGTCTTACAATTGACTGCAAGTTAACATGGAATTCACACTTAGAAAACTGAGTCAAAAGAGCATAAATCGCTTATGCCACCGAATCGTAGGGCGCCCCTGGGATTTCTCCCCCAGAGTTGTCGCATGGAGTTATACGGCCATCATAAGACCTATGCTAACATACGGTGCAGTTCTCTGGGTACCGAAAACACAAAAATTGACAACTATCCGCAAAGTAGAACAAATTCAAAGAACAGCATGTCTCAACATAACAGAAGCCATGAAAACCACACCGACCAGAGTCATGGAAGTCATTCTTAGTCGCACTCCCCTTGATATTTACATCAATGAGGTTGCTCTGATGACAATGACCACGTCTCCATCAGTTAATGGATGGAAAAAGAGTCTTAGGAATGGTAGACCAACTATCCAGGATCGAGACAGGCCAAATAGTTCATTAAGGAACTGTCGGCCAAGTTCACGAAAGGCCTACTGGATCAAAAACGGCAAATCGTTAGGATAAGTCTGCTTGCGGGACAGTTTCACCTATGAGGACACATGAGTGTCATCAATCCAACAGAAGAAGCAACATTGTGCAGGTTCTATGAAGTAGAGGAAACATGTCCTGTGCCATTGTGAAGGCCTGGTTAGATTGAAGTTTCTAACAATATGTGAAGAAAAGTTAGAAGCATGTAACTACATGTGGAAGATAGGTACTGTACTGTCTAATAAATAAGATCAAGCTAGATGACATATTCTAAATAACGGAGTCCCACAATTGATCTGAAAAGGTCAAGGTGGACAACGAGCAAATAATGTGTCCAACTACTTTCAAATCTAATCTACTTGGTACTTGGTCTTAACGTTTTAAATCGTTATCACAACTAGTACGAGGGTCAATCAAATATAAACCGAATTTATTAATGTAAAATAAAAATCCAAAACAATCTTAAAATATTATATGGTTTAGTAAGTTTACAGACCAAGTTCAAACAAAAGTTGCTTTTGAATACATTATAAACAAATAATAAAATATTTTATTATTAAGAAGTAGTAAGAAATAAAAAAATTAATACTGTCTTAAAACGGTTTTAACGCTGATTTAACACAAAAGAAAATCTAGTTACTTAATAAAATATTTATAAAATTAATATATAACGGTTTTATAAAATACAGGAGTAATATTCATACTGATCATAAAAATGTTTTACTACTATTTTATACAAGAACAATATGACGTTAAACACAAATTTGTTTCATAACTTGGGCCTTTTTCGTGTTTATAGATACTGTGTAACTGTTTACAATATAATAATTTTTAAATTCATTAGTTATTTTAAAAATTGTTATATTATGTATAATTTATAATAGATTTATGCTTATTGGGTTACGTAGTACATTCCCAGTCAAGGTCCTGTAGAAATGCTTACAAACAAAGTACTAAGGTACTATGAACTAAACTGCAGTAAAACGCAGCAAGCCAATAACCAAAAAAGTTAAAGGAAGTTTGTAAATGATAATTTTTCATGCAATGATTAAAAAAGTCAATAACTTGTTTCGTTTTCAAATTAAATGTGCTATCATTACGAGTGAAGTTTTAAAAAGTACGAGTACATAAATTTTGAAAATGGATATTTTTGTGCCATGGCCATGGTCACAGATCACATATTACGAAAGAAGCGCAACTGGTGGAAGAAGTTAGAACTGTACAATTGCCCACTACTTGCTTGAAAACCAAAATACGGAGATCCTATTGATAATTTTCTTACGAGAATAGGAGTGTTAGACATGATAATATCCGAAAAAATATGAATTAATAACTCCGAAAATAAATATTTGCAATTATTATCTCAAAATAGATTCTAATGGGGTTAACCTAAAAATACTGGTTATACGAATGACGTTTCCTCCGTCACGATCTTAAAACAATTATAAAAAAGTTATTTTAAGACGCATACGCTATCCATTTAAATTTTTTTTTCATCTCCCCGAATCTCTATCGCATTACTTATCAATCAATTCACGAAATTTGGAGACATTTTGGAAACGGATGAGGGCAAAAAATGAAACGGCCTATACGTCGAAACTTAAAACAGGTCAAAAATGTTGTGAATGGGACCTCATACATATTTAAAGTTGAGCGATTTCGAGATTGGAACGTTTTAAATTCGGCGACTGCCGACCTGTATATCGTTTTGAGATATTTTAAATCATGAGCGCCGCTAGATTTTTTCCTGTTTACCTGTGGACATTTTCAAAATAAAAATTGTTACAGAAAAATACTAGTTTTGCTGAAAATTGCCAGTTTAAATTGTTATTATTATTATTATTATTATTATCATCATCATATTTCTTAACCAATTAACCAAACGAAGGTTTCCATATACTACTTTAACTGTCTTACAAAATCTACCATTCTTTTCACATTAACATTAGCGGCGGAAGGAGGTAGAGCGGGGGCTTAGTCTCCCCATTACTAGGGTAAACTATATGTGCTATCAGCACATCATATCTTAGATTTTAAGTACGCTCCAATCTAGCAAGGTAAAACGAGGCTACTCTCTTGCATAGATCAAGATAGATTTTCGCAGGTTTCCATACGTCACATTGAAAATGTGTTAGCTTAAACAGATTGACTCTCAAGATATCTTGGAAATTTTTGAGAAGAAAAATAATAAAAGGGCCTAATTTAAATTTTTGTTTTTTTATATCAACCAGTACATAAGTACCTACTGTTACGAATCGATGGTTCATAAAAGCAATTATAAAATTTATATTGTTAATTAAA